ACACACGCAAACACACAAACAAACACATACACACACACACACTACTAAACCAGTACAGGTGAATGGTTGAACCACAGTCAACGATGCCACCTACAGTACAGCTCTATAACAGTATACATGAACATGTTTTAATCCCCAGACAGAACTGGGTGACAGTCACAGACATCATATAACCGTTGTAGTCAGTCAGTTAGGGTTAGCTTGGGTTAGCTTAGGGCACAGTAAGCCTACAGGTTAAGGGCATACAAAACAGTTGATGAAAAGTGTCTTAGGTAGGGTACAGTATATGCCTGTGTTTCCCAACCCTGGACCTTGAGCACCCCCAACAGTACACAGTTTCTGTGTAACCCTTGACAAACACACCTCATTCAACTCATTGAGGGCTTGATGATTAGTTGACAAGTTGAATCAGGTGTGCTTGTCCAGGGTTACAATAAATATGTGTACTGTTGGGGGTACTCGAGGACCAGGGTTGGGAAACATTGGTATATGCCATGCTCTCTAGGCCAGGGTGGCAGGGAAGGGGATAGGGTAAAGGAGAGACAGGAGATGGCAGGGAGAATCAGAGAGGAGGGATGGGAGAAATAGGAGGAGATGGGGATGAGGGAGTATGGACTGTATAGACAATGGAGGAGGGGGAAGAGTAAGCTGGAGGCTTGGGTGAAAAAAGGGGAGACAGCAGGAGAGGTGGGGAGGGGGCAGGGAATACTGCCCTGTGGGTATAAAGGGTACTGACTGACCGTAGGCAGAGAGAGAGGGAGAGAGAGAGAGAGAGAGAGAGAGAGAGAGAGAGAGAGAGAGAGAGAGGAGGAAAATAAGAGATGTAGAGGGGCTGGAGAGCCATTGTGAGAGAGAGGATAGCGAGGTTTGTTGCTTCGCCGCTATCTCGCTCGATCGCCGCCCCCTCTCATCTACGCTCTCCGCTCGCCGCTCTCCTCTCATCAGAATCCCTCTAGAGCAGTAGAGATAGCTAGAAGACTGGTCACACAAACACTGCCAATGACAATTAGCCTCAACCTGGGGTTTCTCTGCCTGCAGCAGACCTGTGCCAAAGGCTGGCAGTCACCACAGAGCGACAGTAAAGCCTCTGTGGATTGGTCACGGTTCAGTGTAGCACTATAGTAAGGCAGTTCTGATTGGGTGGATGATCTGATCGGCCCAACCACCACCAGATTGTCCAGGAAGAACTGTCCCTATTGGTTAGGGTTGCTGTGCTCGCCCATGAAGTGTGAGGTGTGAAATTCAATAGAACAGATGGGTTCTGGGTATGGCTCAGTGAGATTGAAGGGGGAATACTGTAAATGCTTTTGAAACAGTGGGAGGTGCTGGTCACAAAACAGAGACAACAATCAATACTCAATACTATCAATACAAGACACAAAGAGGGGAAAGAATTCCCAGTGTTGGAAGTAAACACTGACCACAGACCAGTCGACCTGGTCTCTGTGTGTTTATTTATTTTATTTAACCCTTATTAAACCAGGAGAGGCTTCTAACCCTTGAGCCTCTTTTGTGTGTGTGTGTGTGTGTGTGTGTGTGTGTGTGTGTGTGTGTGTGTGTGTGTGTGTGTGTGCGCGGTCGCCTGGGCATGTTGCTGGACCTCTAGGCCTGATGTCTCAATTGTACCTGGTTTAGATATGGATATGGACAGGCTCTGATGGATGGCCTGATGAAATTACATTTGTAAGTTGTGTTTGGTCATGTGAAATCCTTTGAGTTTATGTTGTGATCAGAATACTGTGCCCTACAAGCCAAAAAGGCCCATAGAATCAGAATCATAGAATGGAAATTCCAATTCCATGCCATTCTAATTCTGGAACCACTTATAACCCAGAATAGAATTAGAATGGAATGAATTATATGTCTATGTTATGACCACAGCTTATAACCATTTTACACATGACACACGTGTAGTCTGGTTTCTATGACAACAGATCCTTTCCCTCTGCAGACCACACCCTCAGTGACACATTACAGAGATGGGATGGGATGGGAGCAAGAGCAGGGGACTGGAGACGTTTGCTTGCGTGTTTTATTAATGCTTTCTCCCATGTCCATGAAATGAGAGAAACCATATATGCCCTTGCTCGTTGCTTTTCGACACTGATCAGATTCATTCACCACTGTTCACAGGGAGAATTCACAGCAACACTGCACAGTGCTGCCCCACCTCACAGGCCCAAATAGGCCTACATTACAGGTAGCCTAATCGCCAGTCATCCTAAAACTCATATTTTATAATAAAAGCGTGGCTTTAATAGCGGCATACATGTTGCCTCGACAGCACGAATAAAACGGTATACTATTAATTTGGTATTTTCGTTTTATCCGACTATAGGCTTTCCCTTGAAATCCAACAAAATGCGTCCTCGAATTTCATCCAGCCTTGCAGCGGCATCCTGTGTGTCGTTCATTGTGCATTAATAACGCGGACGGTCTATATCAAAAAGCAAAGCGCATGTTTTTGCTTACCTCATCTTCCTCTCCTCTCCACCGTAGTGATAAATGAAGAACGACCTGTAGCCTATTGTCTTTTTCCCTTTCTGGGCGATTCTCTCAGTCCAGAATATAGACGATGCGAATGTTCTAATATTGATTATCTAGCTATTAATAATAGCCTAGGCACGCCGATGGTACGAAGCCTGCCGGGGATGTGCAGGGCAAGGCAGATGCTGGAAAGGCGATAGGGTGGGGAAAATGCTACAAACGGATGCCACAGTTTTTAGTCTCTTTTATTTAAAGCGAATCTCTCTCCAGTCCCTCTCGAGGTGGTGCTGGTGTTTTCGGTGCCATATTTCAGAGCGCTACGGAGAGCTGTCCTGACGAGAGACTGGTCGGTCTGGCTGACAGCGGCTTCTGAGGTGCCATCTTCCCTTCCTCCAGCACTGGGAGCGTGGACGCGCGGGAGGGAGGGAGGGAGGGAAAGGGGTAGAGAGAGAGAGAGAGAGAGAGAGAGAGAGAGAGAGAGAGAACAAACCCAATTTTGATAAACTCCCTTATCTACTTGGTGAAAAACAACAGTGTGCCATCACAGCAGCAAGATTTGTATTTGTATATTTATTGTTTATTTCACTTTTGTTCACTATCTACTTCACTTGCTTTGGCAATGTTAACATATGTTTCCCATGCCAATAAAGCCCTTAAATTGAATTGAATTGAGAGAGAGACAGTAAACTAGCCTACCTATATATATATATATATATATATATATATATATAATAGTTCCTGGCCGTTAGCACCATTGGCTGTGTACATAGGCCTACAGCTGTTTCAGCTACTGTAAGTTTAAAAAAACAATGATATTCAATGGTCGGGTCCAAAATATGCTACAACTCAACTCAGGGTTTCTATTTTGAAGTGTGGCCACCATGCCTGTGACCCTGTCAACACCACCAGGTGATAATGCAACATGTCTAGCACTTAATGAAATAGTAGGCCTACTTAAATCCATGATGATAGGAATTGGATTTCCCTGTCATATCCATCCTTTTGAACCCATCTCAGTTGTCTACACTACAGGTGTGATGGCCAGCTGTTTGCCTGTTTCTCTCTGACAGGTAAGCCTAAACAGATGGGTTTATAAGGTCAAAGTCGAGGCCTTTAGGTGCCCAATAATGGTTGTACCATGTTTTGTGCTGCTACCATGTTGTGCTGCTGCCATGTTGTGTTGCTACCATGTTGTTGTCATGTGGTGTTGCTACCATGCTGTGTTGTCATGTGTTGCTGCCATGCTATGTTGTTGTCTTAGGTCTCTCTTTATGTAGTGTTGTGGTGTCTCTCTTGTCGTGATGTGTGTTTTGTCCTATATTTTTATTTTTAATCCCAGCACCCGTCCCCGCAGGAGGCCTTTTGCCTTTTGGTAGGCTGTAATTGTAAATAAGAATTTGTTCTTAGCTGACTTGCCTAGTTAAATAAAGGTAAAATAAATAAAATAAAATAAAAGGTTTTGTAGGCGATGCGGTTTTGGGGCTAGGATACCTGACACCTGTAAAGTGCAGGCAAGTGCAAGATACTGTGTGCAACACACACACACACACACACACACACACACACACACACACACACACACACACACACACACACACACACACACACACAGTAGAAGTAGAACTCAAAACATCATAGACATATCTTGTAATAATACTGTACATTGTTATTACATTATTACATTGATATTATTACATAGACAGTAGTCGAAGCAGGTGATGACTGAAATGTTTAATGGCTGTCAACAGAGACAGACAGATACACACATAAACCAAATAAGAGAATTCACTCATTCATCTCCCAAAGTCAAGGAGATATTCATATTTTACTGAAGTAAAACTACAAAGCACACAAACAAAATTGAGACATTAAAACAGAAAGAAACAGGAGAAAAAAACACAGGCTTTCAGTTGACAGAGACAGAAATATGTAAGAAATTAAACAGAGGAAAAAGTGAAGAGGACTATGGTCACTGATGGTGCTAGGAAATACAACAAAACAAACAAACTCACTATTCCCTTTACTGCTGGTGAAAAACCCCCACCTCAAAACCAAAACTTTGTAACTATCAATCAATCTCAAACATTACTGAAGACAACCTCTACTTCTAATTCCCTCACATTGCTATAAACGCAAACATCTTTCAAACATTGTGAAAACTGAGTTTGCTTACAGGCCTACTACACTTGTAAGAGCTTGACATAGAAGTTGCCCTTAACCACATATCTAGAATCAGATTACCCTCCCCTCAATCCTAACCTTAACCTTTAGGAGGATGAAACAATATCTGACCCTGGACCAATGGTTAGGAGCAACCTCTACCTCCTCCTAGCCTACCCTATTGCCTAGTAACAGATCTGGAAGTACTGGCTTGGTGATTTGAGGGGGCTTTTGTAATTGGACATGTCCATAGAAGAATATGTATTCTGATTGGTGCTTTTCTGCAGGGGGAGGGTGAAGGCGGGGGGTGTTTTGCATGTCTCAGGCTTAGTCCGGTCTGAGGTGGGGGGGCCTCCTTTGGTCTGAGGAGGGGTGGGGGTTCTGGTTGGTCTGGAGTTGGGGACCGTGGGGGCTGATTTGGCCACTTCAGAAGACCCAGTCCTTCTTGTTAGGGGGCTCAGATAGATCTGCATAGTCACTAAGTGAAGAGGTGAAATTAGGGGTAAGGGTGAAGGTTGAGGGTTGAGAGTATGGGACGAAATGAGGTTTGTAGGTGTGAGCAGGAGAAGGGAGGATGTGTGTGGTGGAGAGGGAATGGGAGGGGAAGAGAAGTCATGATGAGACATGGTGAGAAAATGAGAGACAAGGGTAAACAGGTGTTCAAATACAGTGCTTACTTGTACTTTAGAAACCAGAAGATGTATTTGTCACAGATAAGATTTTAGCTTTCAGTAGATATTATTCCATAAACTTGACAAACTTGACAGACGTTGTCTTTTCTGAGATAGATAATGCATGGGATCAGTAACAGGCGGTGGAGAATACAGTCATAGTATATAAAGCTAGACTAACATATCCAGTTGAGGTTAAGAATGTTATTCCAGGAGGTTGGACAGAGGCCTACCTTTACAGTGTGTCACATGTCTCGACCCTATAGAAGAAACACAGGAACAGAGAGAGCAGGTCAGTCTATGTGGGAGGTATAGTATCCACTCTAACATGTCACTCATACCATTTATCAATGGCATGTTACAGTAGGATCAATCTAACCAACATCTGTTTTCCATTTCATTAATCTGGCCATTCCTCTCCCCAAGGCCCTGTTGTACAGTTCAGTGCTGCTCTCTGCCTGTGGGAAGAGCACACTACAGTAGAAATTAAAATAATTGTCTTACCTACACTGGCTGCAGGCTCCTTGGTTTTGCTGCAAGGAGAGAATGAGAAAGGAGAAGTTAGGTCCCATCACACACGCCCTAGTCTAGAACAAGGATGGACAACTCCTGTCCACGAAGGTCACAGTACTGCTGCTTTTTGTTTTTATACCAGGTTACCCAGACACAGATATACGCCAGTGTCGGATTGAAAAACAAGCATGGAAACCAGTAGACCTTCAAGGACCAGAGTTGTAACTCCTGTTCTAGAGATCTATTTGAGAAAACGTAGGAGACGTATAGACTCAGAACAGTACATTCAGAACACATTTAAACACTTCTTCCCTGTTAGGCCTACAGCCACAGACGTACCTACCTTTCAGCTTTCTTACTGCCGGAGGCTGTGGATCCTGGGGGGCCAGGTCGGGGGCCGGGCCGAGCTGTCTTAGAGGTACATGGACTCTCCTTCACACTGCCTACTGGACTCTTCACACCACTGAGGGAGACAGGGTGAGGGGGAGAAAAGAGAGAGGGGGGGGGGACGTTAGAAAGTGAGAGAACAGCAAGTGTATGATCAATTTGTTGAAATGTATCTAGCGCTAGAGTTAGAGTCGAGGGATAGTAATCATACTGTACCTCTCTGTGTTCGCAGGTGATGGTTAGTGATTGTGTACTGTACCTCTTGGCTGATGCTGGTGGTAAGGGGTTGTAGTTCCGTGCGGTGAATGTAGAGGGCAGTGTGGAGGTTGTGTAACTCTTCTTCAGAGAGGCAGGGCTGTTCATTGATGGTCTGGACGGCAGGGCCAGAGACACAGGCCTAGCTGCTGTTGCATAGGGGAAATATGGGTGAAGAGGGTGTATGTGTATGTTTCTATGTGTGTGTGTGTGTGTCTGTGTGTGTCTGTGTGTGTGTCCCCTCTGACTTCAAAATGGCTCGAGTTGCTCCCCTCCTCAAGAAACCAACACTTGACTCATCTGACGTCAAAAACTATAGACCCTTCTTTATTTTTTTTCCAAAACACTTGAGCGTTCTGTCTCTGATCAACTTTCTCGTTATTTATCTCAGAATGATCTTCTTGACCCTAACCAGTCAGGCTTCAAGATGGGTCACTCAACCGAGACTGCTCTTCTTTGTGTCACGGAGGCTCGCCGCACTGTCAAAGCTAGGCTTCTCAGGCTATGCACACTCTTTTACTGCATCCTACCTGGCAGGCCGTTCCTACCAGGTGACGTGGAGAGGATCTGTGTCTGCACCACATACTCTCACTACTGGTGTCCCCCAGGGCTCGGTTCTAGGCCCTCTCCCCTTCTCTCTATATACCAAGTCACTCGGCTCCGTCATATCCTCACATGGTCTCTCCTATCATTGCTATGCGGATGACACTCAACTACTTTTCTCCTTCCCCCTTCTGACACCCAGGTGGCGACACGCATCTCTGCGTGCCTGGCAGATATCTCAACTTGGATGTCGGCCCACCACCTCAAATTCAACCTCGACAAGACGGAACTGCTCTTCCTCCCAGGGAAGGCATGCCCGCTCAAATACCTCTCCAACACAGTTAACAACTCCACAGTGTCACCCTCCCAGAGCGCAAATAACCTTGGCGTGACCCTGGACGACACCCTGTCGTTCTCTTAAAACATCAAAGCAGTGATCCGCTCCTGCAGGTTCATGCTCTACATCCTCCCTAGAGTACGACCCTACCTCACACAGGAAGCAGCACAGGTCCTAATCCAGGCACTCGTCCTCTCCAGTCTGGACTACTGCAACTCGCTGTTGGCTGGGCTCCCTGCTTGTGCCATCAAACCTCTGCAACTTATCCAGAACGCTGCAGCCCGCCTGGATTTTCGACCTTCCCAAGTTCTCTCATGTCACCCCACTCCTCCGCACACTCCACTGGCTTCCAGTCGAAGCTTGCATCCACTACATGCCTACAGAACAGCAAGAGGAACTGCCCCTCCTTACCTTCAGGCTATGCTCAAACCCTACACCCGAACCCGAGCACTCCGTTCTGGCACCTCAGGTCTCTTGGCCTTCCCACCCCTATGGGAGGGCAGCTCCCGCTCAGCCCAGTCCAAGCTCTTCTTTGTCCTGGCACCCCAATGGTGGAACCAGCTTCCCCCTGAAGCAGACAGCAGAGTCCCTGCCCATCTTCCAAAAACATCTGACCCCCCCCCCCCCCGTTCTAGCTCTGACTCTACTGATAGCTACGTTATTGAGGAAAAATGTACTTTCTATGCCTGTGATATGTGGTTATCCCACCTAGCTATCTTACGATGAATGCACTAACTGTAAGTCGCTCTGGATAAGAGCGTCTGCTTAGTGACTAAAATGTAAATGTAAATGTGTGTGTGTGTGTATGTGTGTAAACATGTGTGTATGTGCTTGTGTTTGTGTACCTTTCCCAGCAGGTCCTTTCTTGGTGTTGGCGGCCTGGTGTTCCTCTGAGATGTTGAGTCTCTTGAGGACATCGGCCAGGGCCATCTTCAGCAGCTGAATCTCATCCTCCTGCATCTGCATCCTCTGCTCCAGGTACGTCAAGCGATCCGCCACGTCTATGCCACTCGCCGCAGAGCTACGGTCATCTGGAGAGCAAAACCATAGATTGAGTTAGCCCACTGAGCTAAAGCCACACAAAACTGTGTTAGCCCACTGAGCTAAAGCCACTTCTCCAGGTACGTCAGGCAGTCCGCCACATCTATGCCGCTCGCCGCAGAGCTACGATCATCTGGGGAGCACAACCATAGATTGAGTTAGCAGGTCCTTTCTTGGTGTTGGCGGCCCAGCAGGTCCTTTCTTGGTGTTGGCGGCCTGGTGTTCCTCTGAGATGTTGAGTCTCTTGAGGACATCGGCCAGGGCCATCTTCAGCAGCTGAATCTCATCCTCCTGCATCTGCATCCTCTGCTCCAGGTACGTCAGGCGATCCGCCACGTCTATGCCACTCGCCGCAGGGCTACGGTCATCTGGAGATGATTGTGGACTAAAGGAAAAAAAAGAGGACTGAACACGCCCCCATTCTCATCGACGGGGCTGTAGTGGAACAGGTTGAGCGCTTCAAGTTCCTTGGTGTCCACATCGCCAACAAACTATCATGGTCCAAACACACCAAGACAGTTGTGAAGAGGGCACGACAAAGCCTATTCCCCCTCAGGAGACTGAAAAGATTTGGCATGGGTCCTCAGATCCTCAAAAAGTTATACAGCTGCACCATCGAGAGCATCCTGACTGGTTGCATCACCGCCTGGTATGGCAACTGCTCGGCCTCCGACCGCAAGGCATTACAGAGGGTAGTGCGTATGGCCCAGTACATTACTGGGGCCAAGCTTCCTGCCATCCAGGACCTCTATACCAGGCGGTGTCAGAGGAAGGCCCTCAAAATTGTCAAAGACTCCAGCCACCCTAGTCATAGGCTGTTCTCTCTGCTACCGCAAGACAAGCGGTACCGGAGCGCCAAGTACAGGTCCAAAAGGCTTCTCAACAGCTTCTACCCCTAAGCCATAAGCCTCCTGAACAGATAATCATTGCTACCCGGACTATTTGCACTGCCCCCCTCTTTTACGCTGCTGCTACTCTGTCTATTATTTATGCATAGTCACTTTAACTCTACCCACATGTACATATTACCTCAATTACCTCGACTAGCCGGTGCCCCCGCACATTGACTCTGCACCGGTACCCCCCTGTATATAGCCTCCCTACTGTTATTTTATTTTACTGCTGCTCTTTAGTTATTTGCTTTTATTTTTTTTACTTAACACTTTTTTTTTATCTTTTAAAAATGCATTGTTGGTTAAGGGCTTGTAAGTATGCATTTCACTGTAATGTCTACACCTGTTGTATTCGGCGCATGTGGCAAATTAAATTTGATTTGATTTGAGTTTCCCCACTGACAAAGACATGATCAATCTATAATTTTAATGGTAGGTTTATTTGAACAGTGAGAGACAGAATAACAACAAACAAATCCAGAAAAACGCATGTCAAAAATGTTATAAATTGATTTGCATTTTAATGAGGGAAATAAGTATTTGACCCCTCTGCAAAACATGACTTAGTACTTGGTCAGACGTTTCTTGTAGTTGGCCACCAGGTTTGCACACATCTCAGGAGGGATTTTGTCCCACTCCTCTTTGCAGATCTTCTCCAAGTCATTAAGGTTTCGAGGCTGACGTTTGGCAACTCAAACCTTCAGCTCCCTCCACAGATTTTCTATGGGATTAAGGTCTGGAGACTGGATAGGCCACTCCAGGACCTTAATGTGCTTATTCTTGAGCCACTCCTTTGTTGCCTTGGCCGTGTGTTTTGGGTCATTGTCATGCTGGAATACCCATCCACGACCCATTTTCAATGCCCTGGCTGAGGGAAGGAGGTTCTCACCCAAGATTTGACGGTACATGGCCCCGTCCATCGTCCCTTTGATGCGGTGAAGTTGTCCTGTCCCCTTAGCAGAAACCCCCCCCCCCAAAGCATAAAGTTTCCACCTCCATGTTTGACGGTGGGGATGGTGTTCTTGGGGTCATAGGCAGCATTCCTTCTCCTCCAAACACGACGAGTTGAGTTGATGCCAAAGCTCGATTTTGGTCTCATCTGACCACAACACTTTCACCCAGTTCTCTTCTGAATCATTCAGATGTTCATTGGCAAACTTCAGATGGGCCTGTATATGTGCTTTCTTGAGCAGGGGGACCTTGCGGGCGCTGCAGGATTTCAGTCCTTCATGGCGTAGTGTGTTACCAATTGTTTTCTTGGTGACTATGGTCCCAGCTGCCTTGAGATCATTGACAAGATCCTCCCGTGTAGTTCTGGGCTGATTCCTCACCGTTCTCATGATCATTGCAACTCCATGAGGTGAGATTGACAGGTCTTTTGTTTTTCTTCCATTTGCGAATAATCGCACCAACTGTTGTCACCTTCTCACCAAGCTGCTTGGCGATGGTCTTGTAGCCCATTCCAGCCTTGTGTAGGTCTACAATCTTGTCCCTGACATCCTTGGAGAGCTCTTTGGTCTTGGCCATGGTGGAGAGTTTGGAATCTGATTGATGGATTGCTTCTGTGGACAGGTGTCTTTTATACAGGTAACAAACTGAGATTAGGAGCACTCCCTTTAAGAGTGTGCTCTTAATCTCAGCTCGTTACCTGTATAAAAGACACATGGGAGCCAGAAATCTTTCTGATTGAGAGGGGGTCAAATACTTATTTCCCTCATTAAAATGCAAATCAATTTATAACATTTTTGACATGCGTTTTTCTGGACTTTTTTGTTGTTATTCTGTCTCTCACTGTTCAAATAAACCTACCATTAAAATTATAGACTGATTATTTCTTTTTCAGTGGGCAAACGTACAAAATCAGCAGGGGATCAAATACTTTTTTCCCTCACTGTAGAAGCTGAAACAAACAACACACATGCCACAGACAACAGACAGACATCTGCATCCCTCTGACAGACACACTTCACTCGCATGAAAACCAACAGACCATTTTCTATAAATTACATCAATAGGAAGAACTATCCTAACAAACGGCACCATTTTGTAAATAGATTTTTTTAGAATAAGAGAAGAAAACTTGAAATTAACCATATGAGAGTAAGACTACAGAGATTCAATTAAATACATCTGCTACTACAAAGACCAAGACAATAGACACCATTTGTCTGGTTTTAGTGGACATAATCCCAGTGAGAGAGATGGTAACAAATGACTGGTGGAACAGCAAACAAACAAACAGAACAGAAGCTGTCGTGTACCATTGGAAACTCTGTGCGGTGAGGAGTTGTCATAAAGATTCTTCATACTGGGTGACCCTTCCGCCGCTCCAGACCGTCTCCTCCTCCTTCTCCTCTCTTTCACTGTCTGACAGACAATATCTTCTTCCTCCATCAGAGTGACCGTCGGCTCTCTCTCTCTCTCTCTCTCTTTCTTTATCTGTGTGTTCCACTGGGTAGTGTCTGCTTGGATCTCATCTCCACTGCTCCATCCACTGTTCCAGTTTCGTCACACACACAGTAGAACACACACTGATCTCTCCTCTTTCCTCTCTTCCTCTCCTCTTCTGTCCTCTCCCGACAGCCTTGCACCAAGATGATAAAAAGTACAGCAGAGCTCTCTTCTCTTGCCCTCCTCTTTACCTCTCTTAACAGCATCAAATCTGGATCCCAGTCCAGATGGAGTCCATGGTGAGGTTATGAAATGTTGATATTATCTATGTCTCCTTTATCACTCTTCCTCTCTCTCTCTCTCTCTCTCTCTCTCTGGGTGGTGTCTGCCAATGTAGGGCATGCTGATGTTTACAACATCGCTTAAAGCCTTTATCTGAGATTGTGTGTGTGTGTGCGTGCATGTGTGCGTGTGTGTGTGTAGGAGGTGGGGTTGGGGTTAATGTTTGATCATGTTTATACACTCTTGCTATCCTCTCCAATTCAGCCTAAAATGTAGGGTTTGGAGTGTGTTCATGTACGGTGTGTGTATATGTATGTGTGTATATGTGTGTGTTATACAGTAGCACAATGATAATCCCTCAGACTGAGCCTCTTTGGCATGAGTGACCCCACCCCCTCCCTGATAAACCTTCTGTCAGTGACAGAGAGATAGATAGAAAGAAAGATGGAGCGAGAGATAGAGGGAGCGATAGATGGAGAGTTAGACAGAAAGAGAGAGAGAGAAGAGAAAGAGAGAGAGAGAAAGGGAGCAAGAGAGCAATGTAAAGCAAGGAGCAAGAGAGAATAATCTATAATGCTCCCCTCCTCTCATCTCACCCTAGTACAGGTTGCATGTCCTTGTATTGTTCTCCTGTAAGCAGCTTGTTTAGTTCATTGATCATCCGATTTCCAGGTCTTCTATTTACAGTAGTACATGCCACTCTGACTGATGGAGGGTAAAGGTAAAACCCAACCCGCGCTGACACACCGTGCCAGTACACAGGAGATCTCACAGGTGGCACCAGATGCATCTAAAGCAGTCTTCCCTAAAGTGGGTCAAGAAGACCACAGATTGTAGCAGCTATTATAATGATTTATCTACAGTAGCTATTATATGTCTATAGTACCCTCAGCTTGTGCAATCTATCTGACAGACGTACTAAACTGTGCCTCGATTTTGCCAGAAAACTGGTGAAGATCCATTTCAGAGGCTGGTTACGCCCCTTCGGGGGGAAGCCACAGGTCATCATAATAGGAACAAACAAACTGGCCATCCCAGAAGTCTAACGGAGAGATACAAAAGATCACCAATACCTTATTTGAGCAGGCTCCTAAATGAAAACGGATGTTAGATGTGTATTTTAGCACTTTAAATTTGTTGTATTTATTTAACATTTATATTTTTTTATTTTAACAGCAAATGAATTCAGTGTTTTTAATGAGAACTGTGAAGCGACCGAAAACAATGCTGAAAGACCAATAAACTAAACTAATGGTTAGAAGGTAAACCTTTCTATGTAGCCATACTGTAGATGTGTCCAGGAAGAGGCTACTATATTTGGTGTTGTGACCCAGGGTGTGTCTCTGTGACTTAGTATTTCACTTCCTGTTTTTGGCTGTGACATCAGGCCTGTGCCACCTCCAGAGACCCCATATGGGTCTGGGATTAGAACAGCCCATAATCCCAGACCTGGAAAAGGGAATTAGCAGAACACAGCTCAATCTCTGCTGCTGCTGTACTAACTCAACTATACAAAACCCAAACCCTGTGCCTCTTGGCCAGCCTTCACACATATGCATAGCCTACCCACACATACACACATGCACACACACACACACACACATGTAGGTTATACACACACATACTCATGCTAATGGTATTATGTAGACTCACGCTACACAACATAGCAACAACCCTAAAACAAACATTTAGAAAACATAACTAAACTCTAGGTCTATAGCAGTGATGGTAATGGAGAGGGAAGTAATCTGGAATTCTCCTCTCCCAGATGGTGTGGTTTGTGAATGGCAGAATGATCAGATGTCTATTCACATCACAAGTTCACAACCCTGCTGCATACCCACACAAACCCCTCCTGTTATTAGTCCACTGACATCAATACCCCCAAGGGTGCAAAGCTTTGCCGAAATGTAATTCTAAAATGTGAACTTTTAAAATTCAAAGGACCAAGAACTTTCCTTGAATGTTTACAGCACACAATACCCCCCCACCCCCAATAACCTGTCCTTCTGTTACTTTACCTATGCAAATTCTACTCCACCTCTCCATCCCCCACACCCTTAGCCCTCCCACACATACAGTACCTATCATGAAGTCTGTGTCTGGAGCCAGCAGGGAGTCGTGGTGGTAGGTCTCCCTGAAAGAGGGCCTCCTCAGTCCCGTCTCCTCCATCCCCAACCCCTGGTCCACCAACTCCTCCATGGGACTGTCTTCCATCGACATCCCAGACGCCATGCCTACCTGCCTCTGTGTGTGTGTGTGTGTGAGGTGCTCCTATGAAAGGCTGAAGGTTACTCACATTCCTCCTCCTCCACTGAGCTCAGTCAGTGACCTTTCCTAAACCGCTAACCCTCCCTCCCCTCCTTTCCTCCCTCCCTCTCTCCGTAGAGGAGTGTAGATGGGGCGTAGAGGGAGATGGGAGGGATGATGATGTCATTAAGGAGAGATTAAAGGCCCTGGTAATCCATCTCAAGCCCTCAGCCACGGACGACAGGCCAGGGAAGGGAGGGAAGGAGGGAGGAAGAAGAGTGGGAGGAAGGTACAGGAGTGGATGGCAGGAAGGTAGAGAGGGGGAGAGGTGAGAGGCCACCTGGTCTCAGACAGGTTAACTGCACCTAAGATGTGGGCGGGGGCTGTATTTGTGTCTCTATCTGGGTGTAAACAACACATTCTTAGAGCTACAGTGAGAATGGCTCACAAACACACACTCTTCATATTCCTCACCAAAGATGCATGGGATTTGTATTGGTACTAAATTGCCTAAACCAGAGCGCTTGCATCAGATTGCCAGCTGGTCTGGCTGCTGCAGCAAAGGCCTAGTAGGGCTGATGAGCAACAGAAGATTAGGAAGGAAAACTTGATTAATTAAAAGCATTACAGGGACAATAAACTGGCCATGGCAATTATAATTATGGGGATGGCAGCTCCGGATTAAGGTTGCCCACTGATCTAGGATTGGCTCTAACTAGGGTTGCAAAAATCCAGTACCTTTCAAAAGATTCCCAGGTTTTCCAGAAATCCTGGTTGGAGGATTCCAGATTCCTGCTTATTCTTAATCTTCCAACCGGGATTTCTGGAAAACTGGGGAATTTGGAGAAAGTTACCGGATTTTTACAACATCAGCTAAAACCCTCTCCAATCCTACCCTTAATTATTAGGGGGGAAACACTCAAACAGACTTTAGATTAGAGTTTAGGGGTAATTCTATCCTACTACTCCAATTATGCAGAAGTGGAAGAGCTTGCAATGCTCACTGCTGATGTAGCGTAGCTAAGCAGTTTGTTCACTGCCTGTGGTTAGTTTGAGCTAGCATTGCCTTATGTACCGGCATCAGCTTCTTAAGACCTGAAGTGCCGCTGGTAACTGTCCCTCTCACCCATAGAAGCCACCTAGCTTTTCCCGGTTTAACACCTACAGAACTGGTGGGAGTGTGTATTGCTGGTGCTCAAGGCGGCCTATAGTACTGATCGGCATGAGGATTGCCAGGGCCAGAATAACCTCTTAAGGACCGGACCCTTTTTTTCAATTTTCGCATAAAATGACATACCCAAATCTAACTGCCTGTAGCTCAGGACCTGAAGCAAGGATATGCATATTCTTGATACCATTTGAAAGGAAACACTTTGAAGTTTGTGGAAATGTGAAATTAATGTATGAGAATATAACACATTAGATCTGGTAAAAGATACTACAAACCAAAAAAAACACGTTTTTGTTCTCGTTTTTTTCTCATCGTCTTTGAAATGCTAGAGAAAGGCCACAATATAATATTGCAGTTTAGGCGCAATTTAGATTTTGGCCACTAGATGGTAGCAGTGTGTGTGCAAAGTTTCAGATTGATCCAGTGAAGCGTTGCAATTCTGGACTATTTTGTATCAAGTCTACCCAAATGTGCCGAATTGGTCAATTGATACATTTTCAAGTACATACAGTTGAAGTCGGAAGTTTACATACACCTTAGCCACATGGGGACAAAATCATACTTTTTGGAGAAATGTCCTCTGGTCTGATGAAACAAAAATATAACTGTTTGGCCACAGGCCTGGGCCCAGGGGCTTCAGCCCCGGTAAGCCCCTGCATTAACCTGGCCCTGAGGATTGCCGGTGCGCCACGCCTACAGTACTGATCATCAATTGGCTAATTGGCTGCTGTCCCATTTCATAGACACCGCCACAAAAATAATGGGCCAGTGTTTCAGAAATATCCGGAACGATTTCTGGTCCCTGTCCGTCCTCCCTGCTATTAAAGACATGCTCCGGAAAGTATTTTATAAACCTCCGGCTTTAGGCTGTATGTGTCAATGGGTAGGCTATACATGCATAATCAGCAGAATTACTGTCTTATCTCAATTATCCACAAAATCCCTAGTTTGAAAGCAAGTGTTTTTCTGGAAGCTGTGACGTGCCATTTTCCCTCCATTTTCCCCCACGCAGGGCAGCCCTATAGCAATTTGTGTTCTAGCCAATGAGCTTTAGCCACTCGCCATTTGAGCGACAGCTAGCAAGATGCACACACAGCAAAGCGAGAGAGAGAACAATGACGTGGTGCACATATCTGCACCTATGTGACGTAGTACGCAATTTTCGGGGACCACTTTTGGCTCATGAGTGCTACTTTTAGAGCTACTGACTAAAAAGTAAACAAAAGTACCAAAGAATCTCTTTAATGTTTGAAGTGTAAAAACAAATGTGAGAGCCTGCTGGAGTTGTTGAGTTGTCAGTGGTCCCTCTGGAAGTCTGTACTGTCAGTGTGTCTGTAATTCTGTCTGTGTAATAGACATCAGTAGGTGTGCTGTGCTAGCGTCTGGCCACTCAGAGCACTGGACATTCCTAATGCCATGAGCTGGGATAAGCAACATACAAAGATGGGCCGAGGAAAGAGAGAAAGTCAAAGCCTGTAGTATAACTACTGACTCCTTGTGGTCGTTGGTTGCAACTAACATACCAGTATACCATGAGCCATGACGACACTCACACACCGACACTCACACACCCAAACATCAGATTGTTAGTTTTGCATTCAAATTTCTAATGAACATACACCAGAATTGGATTAAATGACAGACCAATTTTTTTTTTTTTCACAAAGGACTTAAACTTTATAAATAGTCTGTCAATGGAACATTAAATCGCAAGGATGCTAGAATTCTTCACAAGAATCTAAGAGATTTTCAGAGAGCATGACAAAGTGACACAATTATCTGATACACACATCCTTTCTCTACTCCAAAAATATCTAGACTTTTAGATCCTCCATTTTTAAATATATCAAAATATATGCCAACATTTAGCAGTAATACAGAAGAACACAAAAAGCCGAGTTTCAGGCATTTGTCAGGTGATTCGATTCGATTGGTGGAGAGATAAAAACACTTCCTGGGTCAGTGAGAAGTGGAATGGTGGATATCAGAGGTCAGGAACGTCTGACCCATGTCACCATGGCAACAATACGTACACTTGACATATCATGACTATGTCCCAATAGCCCAAACATAATATACCATCTCCTTTCCTCACTTCCCTTTACATTTTACATTTACATTTCCGTCATTTAGCAGACGCTCTTATCCAGAGCGACTTACAATAGGCCTTTAAATGTTTGACAAATGAGAGACATATCCTATATAATTTCCCCCTCATCAGTGACCTAAACAAAAGGCCACGAGGAAAGGAAACGTTAAAGAGCTTTGGGACATAGTCAGGGTGTACTATTCTGAAGTTGTCAGTTGGACACCAGATCAGCCTATGTGGCGCCCTCTAGGGGCTCAGTACTGTAAATGCACATCTGGGAGTAAAGCCATGGTGGGTCAAGTCTGTACCTCAACCCTCTCATCTGAATCTCCCCATAAGAAAACAATGTGATTTCAATTTATGACGTAACAGAAAATATCAGCAGCAAAACCCCACAAGATGGAACACCTCCGCAGAAGGACAAGGATCACCTGCCTTAGAACCAGGACCCCTGGTGTAGAGTGACTCTGTCCTCTAATTGGACAGATCAATGAGGGGAGGGTTACCTGTTAAAACGGCAACCTCCCAGACGTCAAACCCTAAGGTCAGCCAGGATGGCTACAGGTAGACGTTTCACTCCCTCAACCACAGATCTAGGATCAGCTTAGACTCACCCTACACTCCCAATCCTAACCTTAACCATAAAGGGGGATGAGGAAATAGAGTATCTGATCCTGTATCACTGGTTAGAGTGTAACTTCTACCTAACCTAACTTTGTGTCAGGATGTGGTTTGGTCTTCTTCACCCGAGGCCAAGTTCCATCTCTAGATAGAAACTAGCTCTGGTGCCAGTCTGTTTCTGTGGTTGCCAACCTGGGCTTGCCACTAGCATTGTTACAGAAACAGCCATGTACACTGCTAGCTAGAAACAAATTACTACAACCTCTGTGTATCTCCATCCAATAGTTTCATCTTGATAACTCTTAAGTTACTAATAAAAAGAAAAAAAAAAAATCTCAAATTAATTAAACATATTTTCCAAATAAGTTAAATTTAAATCTTTATATATTGTATTGTTTACCCCATTTAAATATTGCTTTATTCTTTTTTAAATATTATAATCAGCTGGGTCGTTCCACGAATGGGTGCCTTTTGCGTCCCTTTGATATTTTAAGTTGATATTGTGCACGAATATTGCATTTAAAAAACCTGTTATATTAAATGAAGTGCCCTTTAATATAGACCACACGGAGAATTCAATAAATCAGATTTTTTTTATATGAATGAAGACTTGCTAAAGTGCCAAAATTCAGCATTTTTGACATGTCCTTCCATCAACCCTGACACTTCTAGGAAGATTTCAACCCACTTAATCCAAACATTTCTCCAAGTTTCACCATCATTGTAAAGCCCTAGTTATTTTTGTTGCTTTGACAAAGTCATTTCGGAAGATTATTTAATGTGATTAGTGATTAATTTACATCTGTCCCTCATTTTAAGGTAAACCCTGTTAAGTGTATTGAACTCTTGTTGTTAATATGGTGAAACTATTCCTTTTTAAATATATATATATAAAAAAAGACACATTGAACATCTAATAGTGTAAAAGCAGGTGAGCTGGTTCTACTTTTTTTGGCCATTTTCTGAGCATAACACATCAACCCTGTTCCCCATAGATAGACAGGCTAGAAATCTTTTAGCAATGTCATTTTTTTGTGAAGCTTGCATTGAATTGCCACTCCCCTTTTCACACAACAAGCTTCCATTCCCCCTGTCACGAGGGGATTGATGGCTGATTTAAGATGAAATCGTCAACCC